GACATGATATGGCCAATATCATATAGCTCCTTTGATCTCCATCTTGGGGCTCCATGATCATCTTGTCACCGGTATGACACCATGATCTCCATCATCATGATCTCCATCATCGTGTCTCCATGAAGTTGTCACGTCATCTATTACTTCTACTACTACAGCTAACGGTTAGCAATAAAGTAAAGTAATTACATGACGTTGATGTTGACACGCAGGTCATAAATAAATTAAGACAACTCCTATGGCTCCTGCCGGTTGTCATACTCATCGACATGCAAGTCGTGATTCCTATTACAAGAACATGATCAATCTCATACATCACATATATCATTCATCACATCCTTTGGCCATATCACATCACATAGCATACCCTGCAAAAACAAGTTAGACGTCCTCTAATTGTTGTTTGCATGTTTTACGTGGCTGCTATGGGTTTCTAGCAAGAACGTTTCTTACCTACGCAAAACCACAACGTGATATGCCAATTGCTATTTACCCTTCATAAGGACCCTGTTCATCGAATCCGATCCGACTAAAGTGGGAGAGACAGACACCCGCCAGCCACCTAATGCAACTAGTGCATGTCAGTCGGTGGAACCGGTCTCACGTAAGCATACGTGTAAGGTTGGTCCGGGCCGCTCATCCCACGATGCCGCCGAATCAAGATAAGACTAGTAACGGCAAGCATATTGAACAAAATCAACGCCCACTACTTTGTATTCTACTCGTGCATAGAAACTACGCATAGACCTAGCTCATGATGCCACTGTTGGGAAATGTAGCAGAAATTCAAAATTTTCCTACGTGTCACCAAGATCAATCTATGGAGTCATCTAGCAACGAGGGAGGAGTGGATCTACATACCCTTGTAGATCGCGCGCGGAAGCATTCAAGAGAACGGGGGTGATGGAGTCGTACTCGTCGTGATCCAAATCACCGGAGATCCTAGTGCCGAACGGACGGCACCTCCGCGTTCAACACACGTACAGCCCGACGATGTCTCCCATGCCTTGATCCAGCAAGGAGAGAGGAAGAGGTTGAGGAAGACTCCATCCAGCAGCAGCACAACGGCGTGGTGGTGGTGGAGGAGCGTGGCAATCCTGCAGGGCTTCGCCAAGCACCACGGAAGAGGAGAAGTACTTGGGAGAAGGGGAGGGCTGCACCAGAACATTGGTATGGCTGCCCTCCCACCCCCACATATATATAGGGGCAAGGGAGAGAGGGGGGGGGGCGCAGCCTTGGCCCTTCCTCCAAGGAAGGGTGCGGCCAGGGAGGAGTCCCTCCTCCCCAAGGCACCTAGGAGGTGCCTTCCCCCTTTAGGACTCTTCCTTTCCTTATCTCTTGGCGCATGGGCCTCTTGGGGCTGGTGCCCTTGGCCCATATAGGCCAAGGCGCACACCCCTACAGCCCATGTGGCCCCCCGGGGCAGGTGGCCCCACCCGATGGACCCCTGGGACCCTTCCGATGGTCCCGGTACAATACCGGTGACCCCGAAACTTGTCCGGTGACCAAAACAGGACTTCCCATATATAAATCTTTACCTCCGGACCATTCCGGAACTCCTCGTGACGTCCGGGATCTCATCCGGGACTCCGAACAACATTCGGTAACCACATACAAACTTCCTTTATAACCCTAGCGTCATCAAACCTTAAGTGTGTAGACCCTACGGGTTCGGGAGACATACAGACATGACCGAGACGTTCTCCGGTCAATAACCAACAGAGGGATCTGGATACCCATGTTGGCTCCCACATGTTCCACGATGATCTCATCGGATGAACCACGATGTCAAGGACTTAATCAATCCCGTATACAATTCCCTTTGTCTATCGGTATGATACTTGCCCGAGATTCGATCGTCGGTATCCCGATACCTTGTTCAATCTCGTTACCGGCAAGTTTCTTTACTCTTTCCGTAACACATCATCCCGTGATCAACTCCTTGATCACATTGTGCACATTATGATGATGTCCTACCGAGTGGGCCCAGAGATACCTCTCCGTCACACGGAGTGACAAATCCCAGTCTCGATTCGTGCCAACCCAACAGACACTTTCGGAGATACTTGTAGGATGCGTTTGGTTAGAGTGAGATGCTCGGGTGGTTATGGGTATCCCTATCCAGCTGGCTAGGGATAGCCATATTTTTTGTTTGGTTACAGGGTGATGTCATCCCGTATTTTGTTTGGTTTGAAGGATGAATCATTGTTGGGATAGCCATTTTTCCATACTTTATTATCATAATACTCTTTTTTCATCTTACCTCTTCCATTGATTGTGGCATATGCAACTACAACCACCACGCAGCTCACGCATGCACACCACACACAATGTGTAAACCACGCACACGTCGGCATACACAAAGTACAACATCGGCCCGGCCGCGTATACCGTATACAGACACAGACGGTACAACATCGCCAGCCCGTGTACACAGAAGCCCGCGTACATCAGGTACATGTGTACAACATTAGCCGGACTCGTACACAGAATACAGCAACAGCCACCCGCATACAGCGTACACCACGCCATACACAGCCCATGCACGCAGCTCACTCGCACCATGTACACGAACGCACGTGCGGCTCCCTCACACCACGTACACGTACACACGACGCACATGCACTGATTTCGGCGAGTTCAGTGCCTCAGCAGGAGAAAATGTTTCGTTTGCGCGCGGGTGGATAAGCATCTCCGTGACATTTTCGCGTGCGAGCAGAGCCAGATTTTAGAGGTATATTCCAAGCATATGGCTATCCTTATCCTATCTCATCCCAGTTCATCCACAAACCAAACGGCTGCTATCCAGTAAAAATATGGCTATCCCTATCCCTTGGGTGGCTATCCCGTGAACCAAACGCACCCGTAGTGTACCTTTATAGCCACCCAGTTACGTTGTGACGTTTGGTACACCCAAAGCACTCCTACGGTATCCGGGAGTTGCACAATCTCATGGTCTAAGGAAATGATACTTGACATTAGAAAAGCTTTAGCATACGAACTACACGATCTAGTGCTATGCTTAGGATTGGGTCTTGTCCATCACATTATTCTCCTAATGATGTGATCCCATTATCAACGACATCCAATGTCCATGGTCAAGAAACCGTAACCATCTATTGATCACCGAGCTAGTCAACTAGAGGCTTACTAGGGACATGGTGTTGTCTATGTATCCACACATGTATCTGAGTTTCCTATCAATACAATTCTAGCATGGATAATAAACGATTATCATGAACAAGGAAATATAATAATAACTAATTTATTATTGCCTCTAGGGCATATTTCCAACACATCTATCACTGACCGGTCAAAAAACCAACCTAGACGGACACCTCATACTGACCCTAAATGCCAAGGCTCACTGACACCCCTCATATCCAGCCCAAATCCATAGTGTCTGCCAAAATGACGCTTGGATGCTTCGCGAGGCGCGTCGTTGCTGCCTCGGCGAAGGTGGTGTGGTCCGTCTGGCGTCCGAGTGCCATGGCAGAGGCGCTGCCCGTGCGCCGACTCGAAGGCCATCCGTGGCCCCTCCGCTGAGGGTATGGAGTGGCAGGCCCGCCATGCGAGTCAGAGGTCGCGACAAACATTGGCGAGGCGGAGTTGCACTCTTAACGCCGATACGGGTGGCCGCCATCCCCTGGCGCCGCAACCGCGTTGTGGTGGACATGTCAGGCTCTAACCACGAGGGATCCATCGTCGACCTCACATCGCCCGGCACTGTGCAGGCCATAGGCTCCGACGAGGAAGGGTAGGGCATGGGAGACGGCGGCGCCTCGAGTCCCATGAGCCGATATGTGCCCCATGTCCTACTCTACCTCGTCATTGACTGCACAAACTCTCCGAGGGGCGCAGCCGGCTATAAACTATTTGATACAATGTGGTTTTCATATCTGAATTTAGGTTGAAATGGATTATTTGATATAATGATATGCTCTTCATAAAAATATTCATGTCCATTGTAATGATGCATATGTGTTACCTTCATTTTCAAGAACTGGATCAAACCATTTGCACAAAACCGATCTAAACATCAACACCAATGCACACAATTAATTTAGCTTATCTCATACAAGAAATAAGACAACCAACAAATATCATAAACATGTGTTTCGTCTGATTCAAGGACATACTACAAATCTTTTCGCTAAAGAACTAATATGCCAGTTTCACCAATATCTCTAACATATGATCAAAGTGGCAATAAAAAGAAAATTCCAAAAAAACTAGTTGGAAAAATCCATGTTCAGATCGGTTTTAGATAGGTTCAGACATAGCCGTTTAGTATCTTATACAAAACCTATCTAAATAAAAAGAACTGAATATCGTGCGTAATAATGGTTGTTGAGTTCTTAAAAAATCTCTCACCAAGATGATGACTAAAACATCACTTCACATTACCCGCTGATGAAAGAACCAATGGTTGAATGGTTAAAACGGTGGTGGTGGTACTCTAAGCCCACCAAAGATCAAACCTCGGTCATCGATTTTGAAGCTCCACAATTCCAACCTAGTCTTCAGTAGACATTGTGTGAGTGTATGTTTGTGGTGGTGCAATTGTACGGGTCTACATTATAATAGTTGTTTTTAACACAAACATCCTAAGTGAAAACGTATGATATGCCTTTATTGCTATCCGACGGACCCGACAATGACGCTACACGTGGGCGCCTTCTTGTTGAACGTATTATCTTTGTCCGGATGTTTTAGACCTAATTCGCTATACCTGACGTCTGAACGAAACTTTATCCTGACGTTTATAAAATGGACTTGTCATGAAACTATAGTCGTGTTTCTGTATTTCTTTTGTTTTCGATCTTATATTTATAATGGACGGAGGGAGTATTTAGCTAAAAATATAGTTATGGGAATAAAAAACACATTTAATCGACGGAACATGTTTTTTTAACCTACGTCCGAAACGTTCTTCTGACAGAAGTAGCAGTGAATCACAGCCATCAATGTTTAATCAAACGGTCGTGATGCTAACGGCAATGTGCTCTGTTCTAAGAGCACAGAGTGGATCCGTCTTGACTAGCGACCGAACCAGAGCAAGAGACCGAGACGGGACGCAGCGGAAGATGGCTGCGGCGGCGGCGTGGGACGGCCCAACGGCGGGCGAGCTGAAAGCGGCCGGCGCGGAGGCGATTCCGGGCGGCGTGCGGGTGAAGGGGTGGGTCATCCAGTCCCACAAGGGGCCCATCCTCAACTCCGCATCTGTGAGCCTGTACGAGCCACCCCCAACCTTAAACCCTAACCTTTCTTCCCCCTTTCCATTTGATTAGCGCAGTAGGGATTTGGAAACTCAGATTCTTGGCTTGCTATAGCTTGAACATTATCTGGTACTCAATCATATTCAATCTGCTGGTAGATTTCCTATTTGTCCTGTGTCCCTACTCCTCTTGTTGTGTAATAGTAGTAGAAAGGAATTTTGGTATGGTTTGCTTAGTTGCTGGTCATTCATGGAATTTAAAATTACTTAAGTTTGTTATGCTTATGTTTGTCAGACATGGAAGTTGAATCAGTTGTGTGTTTTACTCTGTTGGTCATCACCAATTAACTGCCGCACTGCAAACTGGAACATGAAATCTGAACCATGGTTCCTCTGTTATCTCCAGCAATGAGCCAGTAATCGATTATTAACAAATAGTACTAGCATACCCGTCATTCTATTGCTGCATGCAGTCAGGCAATATGTATAACATTTCTTACTGGTTTTGATTTATTTGTTCGAAGGAGTGCATTTTGCATTCTTCACTAATATTGGATCTGTCTACTGTTAGTAGATCCTTGGTCTGTAACCATATAAATGGTTGTGTATGAATTAATTGAAACATATATGCAATGTTCTTCTTCAGATTTGAAGATAAACTTCAGACGACACATTTACCTGAGATGGTGTTTGGAGAGAGTTTTGTGTCTATTCAGAATGCTCAAACTGGCGTCAAATTACATTTCAATGCGCTTGATGCTCTCAAGGCATGGAAACAAGAGGCATTGCCACCTGTTCAAGTTCCTGCTGCAGCAAAATGGAAATTCAGAAGGTTCTTCTATACCTGTACTCTGTTACTTACGCATGCTAGGAAGCATTTCTAGTGAAAAGTATTGGATTTCTTTGGGGTACCATTATATGGGAGCATTGCTGTTTGTCTTAAAGGGTCAAGCTTTCGCCACAAGTACCGACACGGTAAAGAAATACATTTAGGATGGTTTACTTTATGTTTTACTGTGGGAAGGTCAGTCGTGCATTACTATAAAAAAATGTCAATAAATACTATAAAAAAGGTCAGCTGTGCATTTCTTATTTAAATCAACGAGTATATGTTCACTCCAGTCTCTGCCAAAAGGGTGATTATGTAGGAAGAACTGTTGTAGAATAATTAACTAGAAATTTAACGTGCTGTGGCTTTATTAGGCAAAGAACCAAGAGAAGCTTCATTCAGTATATGTTTTCTTGCAGTAATCCTGCTGATCAAGTGGTACTTGACTATGACTATACATTCACGACACCATACTGTGGGAGTGATGTGGTTCTGAACCAAGACGCTGTATGGACCTTACCTCTACTCTAATTTCACCTGTTTTGGCTTCATTTGCCTCCTTAGGCTGATTTACTTTTCGTACTGGTAGGTTTCTGACAATCATTATTTCTTTTCCAGACGCAAACAACTTTAGATGAATGTAGCAATTTGTGTTGGGAGGACACTGATGACAGGATCGACCTTGTTGCCCTTTCTGCAAAAGAACCAATTCTTTTCTACGATGAGGTATGGAAACAGATTAAATTGTTCATGATTGCTCTATACATTGGTTTACCCTGACATGACATACTTAGGTTATCTTGTATGAAGATGAGCTAGCTGATAGTGGTATTTCATTCCTTACAGCGCGAGTGGTAAGTTCTCCCTAGTTATCCTTATTTTTAACTGGACTTTTTGTATGGTAACATCAACTTTAGTTTCACATACTTCTTTTTATGGTTAATTCAACATACTTGATATTCTTTGATTGCATGTCTGCAGAGGGTGATGCCAACCGGTTGGTTTCTGCTCTTACGCTTTTGGGTATGATCTACTGCCCTGCATTTTACACGTGATGTGTCTCTAGTAGTAAGAGAATCTATAAGGGCCATGTAATAATTTTTACCTTTCCAGTTTTCCCACAAAGAATGGCAAGAGCTTAGTATTATAATAGTTAAAGTTCTTCAGTGTGTTCACTCTTCTCAAACAAACCGGGTCTAAGATTGACTCTCAGAAAATCTAAAACAAATACCCTTTTGGAGGGGATTAGAATTCTAGAAGCTTAAATTCAAGCATGACACCCACCAAGCTGGCGTGGTTTTGGGCACAATGCCGGCAGGCGGTCTCATGTGCAAATGTTTGAACATTAATAGCTATTTTAAGATCCATTTATACATAAGTCAAAGGAGCCTAACAACTTCTTATTACCCCTGCATATACCACATTCCACAGCTTAGGGTTGATGGTGCGCTGATGAGATTGAGGGATACCCGTTTACATTGTTCTTTTGGAAGTAAGGAAGCAAACCCGGTTGTACTGCGTGAACTTTGCTGGAGAGAAGCAACATTTGCTGCCATGTCTGCGGTATGCTCTCTCTCCCTCTCTCTCTTGAACAAGTACTTTCCTTTGAACAATTTAACTGCAAAATGTTGGAGCGTATTTAATTTTCTTTTCTAATCCATTTTCCACATAATGTAGGAGGGGTATCCTTCCGATTCTGCGGCATACGCAGACCCGAATCTTGTCGCCCGCAAGCTGCCCGTGGTGATGCAGAAGACCCAGAAGCTGAAGATACCCAGTTAACCTGCTAAGACACCTCTACCGTGTGTTCGGTACATCCATGAGTGGTCAACCGTGGTCACAACTCTATTTGCATGTGTTGTAGATGTGAGCTACCGTTGCTTTACCCATTTATCTTGAAGCCCTTGCGACTGGCAAGTAATGGTAGGCCATTGTAGCCCGGGCTGGGCTTGTGAACTTTGACAGATAAGAACGATGCCACTGTCAGTTTCGGCAATCCTCATTCATGACTGAATAAGATGCTTACAGGCTTCAGTTCATTTTTCCATCTTCGCCTATTTACTGAACCGTTAACGCTGCCTTGTCAGTTGTCACGACATCGCCTCGGGTGGAAGGGAACCGCCCGTCGTCGGCCGGCCGGTGCCGTCCCACGCCGTGCCATGGCCCATGGTCACGTGCTCTCCTGCAGCACGGGTTAAATAACAAGCACGAGGTGCTGCCGTGACCCGCCGTGGCATGTTTTGCTTGCGCGCGCGGTAGAGTGCCGGACGCGCCCGTGAAGATCCACCCGTAGTAGTGGCCTCGTGGAAACAGACGTGCGTCCGGTGATCTACTTTTGTGCACCCGTAGTCTCAGGTTGAAACGCGATTGGGGTGTACTACCAGCCAGAGTCCTGCACGGCTGCGCCTCAAATGGAATCCATTCCTGAGTCCTGACCCAACCCAATGGCGCTTATAGGTAAGCAACAAAGAATCAACAACAGAAATGTCGCTCAGTGCCGCACATCTTTGGACTCCTCCTAGTTACGCGATTTTGTATCTGGCATGTGTTGTAAACTGTATGACGGAAATCATAAGAAAGAAAATGGGACAGCATTGTGCATCATTGGAGATCAACCCAACGGCCGGCCCATTCATCTTCCTCCTCCCACCACCGCCATTGGTGCTAGCTGACAGTGTTTGATTGAGTGTGGAGAGACTCGTGAACCCTTTGTAATTGTCTGTGCGTTTAGAATATCCGCCTCACCGTGTGCCCCCCACCTCGACCTCGGAGTGTTGATCCTTCTCCCAAAGAATTGACCATATATAAATAACAAAACCGCATGAAGGACGCGTTTGGTAGGCTGCATATACCTCAGCCAGGCCCGTGCGGGAAGAAAATGGCCTGCTTGGTTACCCGCATTCACTGTTGGGCCTGCATAGCATGAACATTAAAGCACCTCTGGGCCTGCATCTAGAGGAACGCTCAAATCGGCCGTTTTTGTGCAGCCAGGACCGCACGATGCAACCCTAGGCATGTGGGCGTGGGTGGTTGCGGTCCCGAGAAGTCATGTTGTTTCTAGACGGCTCGTCATAAATTATCCTCACCTTCCTTCCTCACCGCTCTCTCTCCTCTTCCCCACTCACACCGGCGGCGGCGACCACCGGGGCTCTAGTGCGAATCGATCCAAGACGGCGACAACCACCGGAGCGACTGTAGACCTCCACCGAAGCGCATCGGCCATGCCGGTAAGTCCTCTTCTTCGTAGATTTACTGCTTTCAACTCGGGCAAGATTCGATTAGAGCACACGATTGAAGAGTTAGGGAGGGGATCGAACA